GAGCTGCTGCAGGGTAATCCATCGACATGATCACCAACAACCATCATCACCAACAATCATCTTGCACCTCTCACCTCCGCTGCCACATCTTCCCCCCTCGACTCCCATCGCCGCTCCACTCACATTGCTAGCTCGAGTCTCCAGCCACAACTCGTTGACGATAGAAGACATCTAAGTCGAGCATTCATATCCCATCACCAACCTCGCACAACCCCCTTTCATCCGCGGGCAACGATGGCAGACACCGACACAGGCAACCTGATCCACGATCTCCTCTCGGACTTCATCCCCTACCCTCTATTCCGCATCCTCGCCGGCTTCTCAAATCTAATCTACCGTCTCCTCGGTTCCTCAAACGATCCATCATCTTGGTCCTCCACTCTTCTCCCACCTCTCGTCACGCTATGTCTCGCCTACTTTGCACTCCTCGCAGCGTATCGGACAGCGAGAAACATGCTTTCGTTGGCATGGTTCGGGATGAAATGGGGAGCGATCATCGGTGGCGCAATTGCGGTGTGGGCTTGGTGGACTGAGAATGGGGATGCGGTGAATAGTACCGGTGTTAATCAGGGAGGGGGAAATGCCGGGTTGATTGGTCAACGTAAGTACAAATTATTCGGCTGAGTGGGTCTGAGAGAGGACAGAGGCTGATTCTGTTGCGTGATGGGAGGAAAACAGTGTTTGGGGGCAAACACTGACGAGAAGATCTTGCTTCATTCGAATTCCTACGCAGTGCAAGGCTTGAGTCCGATGTTTAATACGCTCTACACTCAACTTTCGGGGTTAGAAGGCGGTGCCGGTGGTGCTTCGCCGTATAACAACCGCCGAACGAACACGAGAAGACGCAATACGAGAAGACGCAATACGAAATCTCGGACAGGCAACAATCAACACTCCTTCTCCCTCGATCCTACCGCCGATCTTCCGGATGATTTGGGAGCGGGTTTTGGTGCATTCGCTGATATGTTCGGTCGCAATTCCCGCTCCACTACCTCTGATACTGATTCTGGGGTTGATTTCTCCTCCCTCCTTCGCACGCTAGTGACCGAAGGGCAGAGACAAGGAATTGACGCGCTCTCAGCGCTTCGTGCTGCCGGAAGGGTTCAAGAGGAACTACGCAGGTTCCAGGCAGATCCAACAGGGTGGTTTGATGGTGTTAGTGACCGCTTTCGCACCTCTACCCCCCAAGTAGGAGGTGCTGGGGCTGACAATACAAGATCAAATACAAGAGCGAGAACTAGAGCTGCTAGGGGTGGTGCAAACGTAGCAGACGACAATTCATGGTGGGCTAATGTTGTTGCTGGAGTAGAAGGATTCTTCAAACCTGATCCAGACGCTGCGCCTCAAGCTGGTGCTCGTCAAAGACGTACTCACACATAACCACCCATTATCTGGATGCCGTATCTTTTACTGTTCGAATGTACATCTATTGCAACGGGATCAGTCGTTGCTGGTTTCACTGATCTCTTCCAAGCCTGGAACTTTATCTGTTCGAACTGCCAACCGTTTCGCGATTGCCATTGCTACCTTTTGCACTGATTCCACGTCTTCCCGTGTCCACCCAGCTCGCAAGGCCCCACGCATATGCCAAAGCACCTCAACCCTGCAATTCTGTGTTATCAGTGCAGCTAGAACGACCAACTCTGTCTCTCTCCAATCTAGCACCTGTTCATTGCTCAGGTTAAATCCGTAGTTGATTTCGAGGGTGAGGAATTTGAGATCTTGCATGTTCTTACCCATTTTCCTGTCTAGGATGTCGGGTAGGTTGTGTTTGTAGATCCTATCCAAAGCCACGCAGGCTGGGTGGGTGAGGGAGGAGATGGGTTGGGAAAGAGTTGAAGAGCGGATGAAATCGGATGATGTTAGCAGTGGCTCGTTGTTTTCGCAAAGGAAGCAAAGCAGGGCGAAGATGGTGTCTAGGGATGGAGGGATGCCCCTTAGAACCGAGCCTTTTACGGGGCTTTCTTGGATTCGTCGCTGAACGAACTTGGATTCTAGAGGATCGCTGGGAGTAGAAGAGGTTTGGGATTTGGATAGGGCAAGTTGTAGAGAGATACGACGGATTCCGGTCCATGGTGACAAGATGCAAGCGCGCAAGTAAGAACAACCAACCAAGTGGGTGAATCGCGAATCGCAGGGGAAAGCTGGGTGCGGAAATGGAGGATTTCATCCGAAGTCATGTTGGGCGGGACCAATGCGGTTGGTATCGATGGGGCCATTTTGGTTCTGCGCTGCGAACAGGTGGCGTCCGTGGAGATAGTTGGCGGGAGTATGTCAATTACTGAACGATGCAAGGTAGATGAGAAAGCGAGTTGGCCACTCGATAGAGGAGGCTACAAAACATGAGTATATATACCTTATCACCGCCGCTTACACTCGCTGTGTTGTTCGAGGGGAGTCGTGTTTCCTTTCCCACATAACTCTAGACCGTCTGTCCAGTGGCAACCCGCTTTCGTAGGCGTTGCCATGTCAACGCAAAGCTCGGCGCCAGCCCTCGAGAGTAAGCGGCGCACGTTCCCACGAACTTGGCCCTCATCTCGGTTGCGCCAACATTCTGCGAAGTCCGACTTATCTTCAACTAGGCAAAGATCAAGGGTTGAAAAGCTGCACTTTCGGAGGCTTCGATTCGGGTGCTTTTGCAAGCCGACTCCGAACATGTCCATCAACCCTTGACACCATCTACTCACATAAGCCGCCTCAGTCAGTCGCAATCACAGCTCAAGACACGCTTACGATGGCATGCATAGGATGTCTGTTTGTTCTTATTGTGCTATTCAAATCCCCATCTGTCGCTTCATCCCCAACCAAACTGCAAAGCTTATACTTGTCATTGGAACCACCTTGAGAAAGCCAATGCTTAAGCCCACATAAAAGCCTCTGCAACCACTTGTTTTATAAATCCATCCTGCCGTTTCCCACATTCCCAACATCGCGCCTGGTCTAATTATGCCTCCTACCTGTTGTCTTCTTCTTATCACCTCAAATGGATATGCTGCTGTTTGTGAGAGCGCACCTGCGATAGCTCCCGCTGAGAGATCGACAACAGTTTTGCTCGGCCAATACCACTGCCTTCTACTTCCCCAAGTATCTGCTGATGGTTCTGAAGGCGGGAACAAATCCTGGAGAAGAGTTTTACATCGGCCGAAAACAAGGAAAGATGTTCCAGCATAAGGGATCATTCCCATTACAGTTACGCTAAAGCCTCGGTAGAATTTGAGGATGGGATGTTTGGATAGCAGTTTATTTCCTGCTGGTACGGCGGATGATGGGACGTGTGGATCTGTTGCACGAAGGGCAGATTCGAAGGTGCTGGTTGAACTTGAGCCTGATACAGCTGCGGTGGCGGAGGTGGAAAGGTAGGCTTGCTGTGCCATCCTTGCCGCTCTTTTGCGGGCGTCACTACTGAATGGTGCTTCGGTTGCTCCTTCTCGATAGATCATTCCTATAATCCTCCTCAACCCGCCCTTCTGCCTCTTTCGCTTTGTTTCAAATGCCAATCTAACCCTGATCAATTCCAAGGGATAGGTGAGGAACACTGACAAGACACCACTTGCTGAGCCTGCCAAGAACAACCTCGCTGAGGTCTCCATCTCCTTGGTAGGCATTAGGTAGAAATGCAACTTGTCATAAGCCATGTACTTGATGGCCGCATAAGGAAATATACGCATCAACGTCGCACTGTGTCCTTGAAACAAAGCGCAAGGTCCATCGGATCGAACAATGTCTCGTCCTGCTTGGAAGACGCCTAGCCACTTGCCCGAGTACTTTTGAAACTCGGGGTTCTGGGCTTGAAAGAGGATCTTGACTCGATCGAGGGGGGCGATGGCGGATTTGGCGACACAACCGGCAATCCCGCCTGCGAAGCCTGAGCGCAGAACGTAGTTCCATGAGGTTTTGTCGGTGGTCTCGCCCAGAAAGGAGGGTGGTTGGGGGAGAGACGCTGCGGATGCTGAAGGCGCGAGGGATGGTGGAGAGGTGGATATTGAGAATGCTTCTCGAGTGTGGTCGTATGCTGCTGCCTGTGGCTGTTGGTTTGGATGGGAGAGAAGGGTGGAGTTGGTCTCACACAATGGTGGATGTGTGGGACGTGGTGCTGCCATCCTGGGCGAGCTACTCTGTGATGGATGCAGTCCGCTCCTGCTACCCTGACTGGGTCAAAATACGGCTTCCAATCGATCTCAAGGGATCCCGAGTCGTGATGATCCAATGCTAGTAGAGACTTGATATGGTCCTGAAGCGTGTGAGCGGTGCTGAGGAGGTGCTCAGCTGTTCCGGGTCGTGCCAAGTTGATGACCGTGTCAAAGCCAAAGAAGGTCCTGGCATTCGGTGTGGTGTTCTTCCGGCGGGCTGCTGACTCGTGGGTGCAGCTGATCGTTGTTGTGCGACGGTCGTTATTCGAAGCCTGTCTCGTCTGCCGTCGACAATTGAGCCGTATGTGTTGGTGGAGAGAAGGCTGAGTCAACAGAGTCAAGATCTTGTGTGTGTGTGGAGAGAGAGAGGTGTTTTCAACGGGAAATTTGATTGAACACTCGCTGTTGCCATTTCCCCCGCCTTTCAACGGTGACTTATCCGCCCTTGACAACGCGTGAAAATTGTTGGCAAGGAAAGAATGTTAAATTGCCTACCTCGAGTGAGTGTTGGTCACCTGCCCCTTTGCTCACCATTGAAAAACGCGCATCTATCCATTCGCACGATAGGTTTTCTTTTACCGGCTACTCAAGAGGATAAAGTGAAAAACCGAAAGACGCGATCTCACATTGCCCATTTATGAGAAACAGCTTTCTTGGCACGTGATAGCCTGAACCTGACCAAACACACACGCACGCCTCGACTATTGCCCCATGCCCACATCTTGTATGACCAAAGGCCCCCTCACTATGCAATACCATATGATTACATGCGCGACTCATGAGGTGTCGATGACCACTCTCGCCCAGACAAAAGCAAACGCGCCATCATCACCAACTGTCTGCAACCGCTCCGTCGACAGCGACAAAAAGTGTCCTCGGCGAGAGTCGAACTCGCGATCTTAGGATATCTGAACGCATTGCTGCAATTCGTAGGTTGATTCCTGCTAACCAGGATCGTTGGTATGAGACCTACGCCCTAACCAACTAGGCCACGAAGACAGTGTTTGCCACACGGCTTTCGCATTGCGAACATGTTCGGTTGTGCTGTTTTGTCTTGATTTTGTCCATCTTTGTGCTTTTCACTTTGTGTCGTCGAGCTGATTCAGAGGATGCTTGAGGTGGATGAGGAGAATGATATTGCAACACGAAACAGAGAGGATAGCAGGTTGCTTTTTAGATCGAGCCATAATCACTAACCAACTTGGCTACGCCATTGGCTAGCGGTGCAAGTTCAGAGTTGATGGCACATTCAGCGTAGACGCGGACACAATCTTCGGTTCCAGAAGGTCTAACAAAACTCCTAGCATCTTTATACTTGCCCACCAATTCATCTATCCTCTCCTGCAGTCCTACTGGACTGATCAACCTGCGCTCTGCATCTTGGGTTTTGAAGAGGAACCTATCTTTGACGCTGACTTTGAGGATTTTATTGGGTAGATCTTGATATGCTGCATCCCATTCCACCGGTCCCCACTGTCGAGACCTGAGGATTACTTCGACGAGCAGCATGTCTGAGATTGCGTCTCCCACGGTTTGGTTAATCAGATCGATCAGAGCTGAGAGTTGGTCGATTGCCGTTTGTGCTGCAGGCGAGGAAGGCGTGCAATCGCAAATCTTTCGTTGAGCAGAGGGAGAGAAGAGGATGGTTCCGTGTCCGTTTGCTTCGAAATATACACCAATGTCGAAAGATTCGGCTGCATGGTGTAGATGTTTTACACCGGTAGGGGTGCAAGTTACAGGAACACGCTGTTTGAGGTATTTTGTAGAGGAGCCGTTGGCGTAGGCGGTTTGAACACACCCTAGTTCGAGATTGATTCCTGCTGCTTTGACCAACTCGGATAGATATCCAGCGGCTAGGGAGGCGATTTTATCTCCATCCAACAACCTAAATGAATCCTTTGCACCAGGGGGTCCGGTGAGGTAATAGTATACGATACGATCTGCGTCTCCATCGAATGAACATAGACGTTGACCGGGGTGGAGGTTTTCTTTTTCAAAACCGATGGGGAGACTTTGATTGGTTTTGACATAGTCTGCACCACATCCGTTGTTCAACGCTCCGGGAGTGGTGGTGTTTGTGCGGAGAGGACGGAATGCGATTCGATCTTCAGGAAGATACTTGATGAGATTGGTGAGCGCATACGCGCCAACGCCGTTAGCACAATCGACTACGAGAGGTGGAAGGTCTGATTTGGCTGGAACTAGCTTCAAAAATGCCGCCGCCAACTTTTTGTAATAACCTTGCTCGGTGGCTTCACCATAACTATCGGGCGTTCCTTGGGTGTTTAGACATTTCACCAAGTAATGCAGCTGAGGAGTCGTCTTCAACCCAGCATCGATGGTTTGTGCACCCATAGCGCTCAAGCCGTCCACAATCGCCTCGACCAAAGACTTGCAGCTAGGCCTGGTATCGTATGCGACAATAACACTTGCTGGTTGAGTAAGGTCGATCTTGAAATGCGACACCAGTTTCTCTAGGGCAGCAATGAGATCTTGGTCGGTGACGACGTTGGCGATGGTGGTGCAGAAGGGTTCCCAACTGGATTCAAGCATTTCTCCTCTTGGATCGACCATTTTGACACCATTATCGTGTTCAGGGTTGTGGGAAGCGGTGACCATAAGACCGATGCTTTTGCCTTTGAGTTTTTTGGAGCGGAGAGCACCGATGAGGCCGATGCGGAAGCAGGTGGAATCAAGCATGTCGGCGCGAGTACGGAGACCGGCGGTGCCGTAGGTGAAGGTTTGGTTGATGGGTTTCGGGTGCGATTGGGAAGCGGTGGTGATGAGTTGGATGGGCAGGCCTTCACCGATGTGGGCGCTTGCGGCGGAGAGGGTGGTTGGGAGAGTCATTGTTGCGTAGAGGCAGCGAAGATGGCTGTTGGGGGGGGGGGGGGAAGGCAATGTTGCGCTGATCAGTATGGAAAACAGGTGTGTGTGTTGTTCTCGCTTGGGCCTCTTTTTTTTTCTTCTCTCGATGAAGCGCACGTCCGTTTTATATTTGTGTGTTAGACTTTGAGAAGCGATCGGATGGGATCGGATCGGACCAGATCGGTTCGGGCTCTGTTCTCACTTTGTGTGCCAAAAGTAAGATCAGATCGCCTCTCGTTCAAACGTAAAGTCTGAGGCTAGAGAGGCCCAAAGCATCTTCAGCTGTCATAGCGCAACTCAACAATGACAGGTGGCTACCATCCAAAGCTGCTGTTCGTCGAGGGCAAGCTGTGGATTGGAGGGCAGGGCACAGGAGCAGACAACAGAGGGCGACGTTTGTGCTGTTTGTGTCTCTCTGCTGACGATTTGCGCTGTCTGCTAAAATGGAAAAAGGCGCAGTTGACAGTTTTGTGTCATCGTCATGATCATTCGCATTCCTTCTTGCGTTCTGCTCGCAACCATCATACTCGACGCTGACCTCCTCTTTCGAGTCGATCGCGGCAAGCTAGCAACAACCACGGACAGCAAGATACAGTAGCCACCCTCCTTTCTAGGCACAAACAACTCACTCCAGGGCCGCCGCCATGGCTTCAACACAAAATGGCGCCAACGCCGCACCGCCATCACTCCACATCAGTCCACCTGGCGCCCAGGATTACATCAGCTCCTCCGTCCACACTTCAGGTTCTGTCGCGCCACCACCGGTCAAACGGCCACCGCACAGTCGAGCTCGTTCTTCCTCCCTCGTCTCCGTCACCCGAGTCGAAGAAACTGCCGAAGAACTCATCGACCAATCCACCGGTTTCAACGCCAACGCTGATTGGGTCAACTACAAAGGCGCCTGGGTCATCCACGTCGTTCTCATCCTTCTCGCCAAAATCCTCCTCGACGTCATCCCCGCTATGCAACAAGACACTTCCTGGACCCTCGTCAATCTTGGCTACATGGCCCTTTCCTATCTCATGTTCCACTATGTCACTGGAACACCGTTCGAGTCCAACGCTGGTGCATACGACCAGTTGACTCTGTGGGAACAGATCGACGAAGGTGCACAGTATACACCTGCCAAGAAATGGTTGACCAGCGTTCCGATCGGCTTGTTTTTGATCTCGACCCATTATACAAAGTATAATCCGTTGCTCTTTGGCTTGAACTTTTCCGCCTTGTTGTTTGTATTGTTTCCCAAACTGCCGGTGTTGCATAGATTGAGGTTTAGGTTTTTCGAACCTCCGCCCACGCCGAGTCCGCATCCTAGTCAACCGCCTACTCCCACTGCCTCTAGGGCTCCCAGTCGGATCTTTTAGCGCAGTCTCAAAAAGGGCCATGTCGATCTGCTGCAAAGATGGGGCTGAAGAAGATCTAACGCCATTCCATGCAGCTGTGGGGTTTCCTATCTCGATCTGGTCATCACCTGCTCTTACGGTCGTCTAATGTAACCGCCTCGACAACATCAATGTAATCGATAGGAGATAAAGCTTTGCAAACCATTCGTCTAATCTGCCTATTTGCACCTCGATCAACTTGCACCTTTACTGTATGAATCGCTTCAACCCGACCCGGACTTGCTCAAACATCTCTCCGTCGCAGCTTAAACATGCTGTCATCGACAGCGAGTCATAATCATGAACCTCTGCTCGACCAACCAACGGAACTTGTTTACGCATTCACTTTCAGATCGTACAGTACAGTACAGTCACAACAGCCGCGGATCGTCATCTCCTCATCTCATCTTTCTTCGTCCAGCAGGTCCTCTTTATTGGGATTGCTCCTCCCAGCGTATGCATTCTATCGGCCAGACTGAGAGCAATCTATCAGAGCAAAAGAGTGCTGTATCCAAACGAAGCTACCCTTGGTTCTCAGCAGCCAGAGTCTTCGCTTGGACGTGATTTCTCGGAAATCGGAAATCAGCAAGAAAGGGTTTTCACAATTTAATTTAATTTTTGCGTGGGTTTCTGCCCTTCAGCCTAAAATTTCCTTTTCTTCTCAGAATTTTCTCCTCCCACTACCACCACTACCACTACTACCACTACTACCACTACTACCACTACTACCACTACTACCAACAACTCTATCTACCAAAAACACAAGAGAGAGCTCACAAGATGCCACATCATCATCGAGCATCCTCACTCCGCCAATCCAATAAAGCATTCAAATCCAAACATGCCACCAAAACTTGCCTCCGAGAAGCCTCTAAAGGTCGATCCGCGTCTGACGCCTCTTCCCACACCTCACGTCTCTCCTCACACAAATTCTCGCCTCTGTCCGCCGCTGGGAATGAGAGTGGTTCGCGACAACATAGACGTAATCACGCCAAGCAGACGCAGAGGTCCAAGAGGAATGCCTTGATTCAGTCCAACCGCATCTTCTCCAGCGCTCGTCTGCGCGGCTTGCAGAGCGAAGGGCAAGATGGGTTGGGAAAAGGGTTTGCTGGCGCAGGTGCCGGTGCGCCTAGGATTTGTGCTGTGGTTGATTTGGCCGAGGATGGAGATAGTTGGGAGGCTGTCAGGAGGATTCAAGAGGAGGGAGAGCAGGGTGGCGTCAAGGCGGTGGAGGGGAGAAGTGTGGAGGATGCGTTGAGCGAGGGTAAGGCCTACTGTGAGTTGGAAGCGGTTAGGTTTAGACAGACGATTCAGTTTTTACCCTTGCCTTATGGTGCCTTGTATCCGATTCTGGATGCCTGTAAATGTGCCGATTTCGTTCTGTTGGTGCTCTCCGCTAGTACTGCGATCGACCCAGGATCTTGGGGTGAGCTGTGTCTAAGGACGTTGCAAGCTCAAGGTTTGCCGACCGTACTAGTTGCTGTTCCGACTCTATACCCGGACGGAGCCACAGGTGTGGGGGGGAGCAAGAAAGCAGGTGCCGCACTCAAAGCGGCTAACGAGGTACGAAAGTCTTTGCTCAGCTTTGCGCACTATTTCTCGCCAGATGTGGACAAGGTCCATGCGTTGGACGATAGAGCTGAACGTGGAGCATTGATACGCACTTTGGCCACCGCTACACCGAAACGTGTTGCTTGGAGAGATTTTAGAGCTTGGATGGTGAGCGAGGCTGCTGACTGGCAACCCAAC